TCAACCCAAGTAACAAATCCAAATCCAAACCGATTAAAGGGTAGCTTGTGAGTTAGGAAGCTTGAGGAACCAAGAAATATCAAAGGGGGTGAAGGATCACTCTACCAAGCCTTGTTTTTGAGGTACCAACATTTGATCATGATCTTTGTTGCTTTGAATCTTGCTTTAAGATGTGTTTTTAGCTTAAGTTTTGGTTTGATTTCATGATTATGCAAGTGGGTGTGATGAATTTGGAAGTTTTCCCCTTTTATATGATGAACTAGGGCTAGAGGAATTTCTACCCAATTTGTTGTATGATGCTTGTATGTTGCAATTAAGGTTGTATAAGGTGTTTTGGTAGTGATTAGAACAAGAAAATTGAGAAAGTTCCATTGATTACAAAAAATTCCAGAATCTGGAAAATTTCCCCAACATTCTGTCCGAATTTGTAACCCTATGTTAGAGGCCGAATTGCCTTAGGTCAAAGAATGAAAGTTGTAGAGAATGGTATTTTATAGGTGCCTACAAAATTTCAGCTCAATCGGAGCAACGTAGGTCGTGAAAAGTCCAAAATACCCATACTGGTTTAAGTTTTTCCCAAGCAGTCCGTGTGATCAGTTTGTCCAGTTTATCACGTTTTTTGACTAGGATTCGTACTGATTTAGCTTTTTCCAAAACATGAAAGTTGTAGTATTCTGACTTAGATTTCAAATGCCTCTAAGAACACCAGAATTGGACTTTTGTAGCCTGAGATATGTCCATTACAGTGTAATGCGGTTAAACAGCCGACAAAGTGGATTTTGGTTCTGTAATTTGAGAATTTGACTAAGTTACATTAGAAAATGGACTAAGTGACCTTCATGAACATTGTATCCCTGAGTCTTAGCTTCGAAACGGCATAGGTTACGCCTCAATCCGATAAGCGTAGCCTCGGATATGTTATTTCCGCATCCATACGTCAAATCTGTCTTTTGCTAAATTGAATTTCTGCACTTGCTATTATTGTGAATCTTGATCTTATGATATTGTGAGCCTATGGAACGGCTCTTGACATGAATTTCTGATATATGTGATGTTGGGTTTTGGTTGAGGAAAAATAATGAAGCCTAAATGGCTGGAAAATTAGGTAAACACAAAGGGCATGCTGCCCGAATTTTTACTCGAGAACTAGAAAACTATATTTGCAACTTGAGTGAAGGTTAAGTGATTACCACTTGAACTAGCGAGAACTTTTGCTACTTTTTTATCGATGGTTATACGTTAAAAACCTAAACGAACTTGTACTCTTGAGGAAAAGATATAATGGCCAGTGTAAACTTGTATTTCCTTGTACTTTCAACTCAAGTATTGTTTCCAAGTATATATGCTACAAAAACCTTATGATTTGAAAAGCGAGCAAGTGTTTCACGAATGCCTTTCAAATGAATTTCAATTGGTTGATTCTGATGAACGGAACGTTTAAGTTTAAAATCTTACTCGTGTTTCAAAGTTCTCAAATCGGATTTTTATCGCAGATCTGGACTCCAAATCTGGAGTATAATTGAACGTGACTACTTCAGGCACTATAGTTTGAGTGAGTGATCTTTCAACTATTTCCAAAGTTACTTTTGAACTAATTCTTGCATTTATTACTCCATTGCATATCATTTGGGTTTGGGTGTATGCCATGACATAATTTGGCTCCAATGAGTTCCTGGAAAGTCTTGTGCTTAGAACCAATGTCTCCACTATTGTTTACACATTCTTTGGAGTACGATGGCTCCTTACTTCTGTTTCATGGTTACCTGATCTAAACGAGCATTGGATATTTAAGTACAAGAACTTCACTGGCTCACATGAGCAATAAATGAATATTTGATTACTGCATCATGACATCATATCAATGCTTTATTGTGAAATATACTTGGCTGTTGATTTTACTGGTCACTCGCTGAGCTTCTAGCTCACCCCCTATTATCTTCTTCTCCCCACAGGGATCGAAGTAAAGGAAGAACTTGTTTTTGGATCTTTGTGTGGCTGGATGGCGTACATCTTGTATAGTTTAGTTTTAGTTTAGGTTTGTGTACTTTTGGGCTTGAATAAATATTTGGAATTGAATCGGATGTAAATCTACATTTTACGCTTAGAACTAGTTTCCGCTTCGCTTATGATATGTAATTTTGGAGAATTGGATGTATTATTTGAGTTGTACCTTGTAATTTACTTGAGAAATGTAGTAAGTGAGTGAGTCCCGGCGAGAGCTGGGCAGTCGGTCCGCTAAACCCTTTGGTTCGCCTTAGGGGGAGGTGGGGTCGTTACAGTGTTACTTCCCGTGAATCCCATTCACCGAAAAACTAACTTGATCGTCGGAGTGCCCTCGGGACCCCCCTGTCAGATCACTCTCTTGTTCGTTTTGCAGGCTTGGGACACGCTCTCCTCATCGACACGCCGAGCTCATCAGGTCAGCTCGGTTCGGGGAAGCTTAGCGCTTCTTCAGTTGGCGCCGTCTGTGGGAAACGACAGGTAATCGAAGTTGCGTTGATGGCGAGAACTCTTCCAAGTGAGCCGTAGAGAACACCGATCCTGGGGCCGGCGAGGGGTCCCGGCGAATGGAGACCGAGGCGGCTCGGGGCGCCGGGGGCTCAGCCCTTTCTGGGGAACGGAGACAGCAGATTTTCCAGTTCGTGACGGAGAACCTTCCCATGCTAGAGGATATAATTCGACAGGCAAAGGAGGGGGGTGAAGCCGGGGGCGCACAAACCACCAAGGCGAAGGGGAAGGAGCGGGAATCACTTCCCGTTCCCTCGGAGGATGAGTCACGGGGCCAGCTCCCCAGGAGGAAACGGCCATGGACTCCCCCTCGGCCGCGGGCCTCGGTGGTCGGGGATAGCGATGGGTACTCTCGCGACCGGTCCGCTGGGGGCCGGCCAAGAAATCCCTCCTTGTGGAAGCTTGCGTGGAAGGAGCCTGAGCGCTCCCCCACCCGATCTATCAAGAGCCGGCCGCGGGACCCTTCCCAGCGGAAGCCTGTCCTGGACGAGCTTGAGCAGATCCTGCGGCCGCAGTCGTACGAGCACAACTACACTACCTCGCCTTTTACCCGGGAGATAGAGAACTACCCACTACCCCGGAGATTCAAGATCCCGAACAACGAGCTGCACGACGCCTCGACCGACCCGGAAGACCACCTCTCGGTCTTCCTGACGCACATGCGTCTGCAAACCGCTGCGGATACAGTCCGCTGCAAAACCTTCCCCATGTTTCTGAAGGGGAGGGCCCGGCTCTGGTTTCAGGGTCTGGCACCGGGGTCCATCCGGAGTTTCCCCGAGCTGGCCAGACAGTTCGCCATCCAGTTCGTCTCCTCGAAGACTTACTCGAAAAACGCGGCCCACTTGATGGTAATCAAGCAGAAGCCGGATGAGTCCCTGAGGAATTTCATGACCCGCTTCAACATGGAGAGCTTGCAGATCAGGGACAAGCACGAAAAGGTAGTCATGGCCACCTTTATGAACGGGCTCAGGGCGGAGGAGCTCTATTACAAGCTCGTCGAGAAGCCTCCTGGAGGCTTAGAGGAGCTCTTGACCAGGGCACACGCCGCCGCTAATGCGGAGGAGGCGGCTCGCCTGAAGAGGGAGTCAGATCGGGAGATCGGAGATCGGAGAGGATGGGGGAACCCCCCCGAGAACAAGGACGGCCCGGCCAAGAAGAATGTTTTCGATCGTCTCACAAAGGAGAAAATCCCCGCTCAACAGCCGCTCTCGGAAAAAGGCTACACCCCCCAAACTCGACCCAGAACCCAGATTCTGGCCATTATAGAGGCGGAGGGCCTAGGGGAACGGCCACCTAAGATGGGGACACCCCGGAACAAAAGAAATCAGGACCGATACTGTACCTTCCACCGTGATGTTGGGCATGACATGGAGGGGTGCTGGGCCCTGCGAAAGGAGATCGACGACCTGATCCAGCGCGGCTTCCTGGGGCGATTCGTGCGGCAAGGTCGACCAGGCCAGGAACCAGGATGCACCTACCGCGGAGACAGGGGCGAGGGCCCGCGTCGCGACCGCCCTGAGCGGCGTGACGTTCCTCGGGGCAACTCCCCCGACCAGGACACTCAGAACTTAACGGGGGTGATAAACACCATTGCTGGGAGCCCCACGGGGGGTGACAGCCATGCAGCTCGGAAGAACATGCGCCCCCCCCGAGGGGGATGACTCCCTGAAACGCTTGTCCATGGATGAGGAGATCACCTTCGGACCAAGGGATGCAGTTCCCCTGTGATGTGCAACGGATCTAGACGAACACCAAGTTGGGATGATTTGCGGAACTTTGACCCTTCTAGAATCACAAGCCACGAACTAAGGAGATTCCTTAACCCAAGACTAGCAAATTTAGTGAACCAAAAGTATGGATAGTAGAACGCCACAATCAAGGAGACTACTTGATTGATAAGTTCAATGAACAGCTTGAGATTGATTCTCAAGTATTCAAAGGAAATTCTCTTGAGGCAAGAGAGAGTGAAATAACTCACATATATTTTATAAAATCTGAATTGTCCTTTAATGAATGAAAACCTAGGCTATATATAGCCTTACAGGACTCAAACCCTAGAATGTCCAATGGACGACCTTGCCCTTCATTAAGGGTGAAAATATCTAACAACTAATTAACTAAAATTAAGACTCTAAATTCGGCCAAAGTGAAGGAAAATTGACCGAAATTATTAATGCTAACAAACAACTAATAATGGTAATTAAAACCCTAATTAGCAAGCTAGTACTCCATGAACTAGTCTTCATTTGGCTCTTCCATTTGAAGGAAAGTGTAGAGAGTAGTTTCTCCATTATGTAATCCTTCAATGGTCCTCAAGTCATCACCAACTCGTTCTTGAATCGTGCAAACAAGAGCTTGAAGTGAATCTTGAATTCTCCTAGCACGCGCTCTTGTAATTGGACCACTGGGTATTTGCATGACCTGAGCACTAGAAGTTTGAGCAGCCATGAGCCCCTCCTCATTAGTCCCCTCCTCTTGAAGGCGATTTGTCCTCAAATCAAACTCATCGTCTGCATGAAAAGGACTCAAGTCAGATACATTAAAAGTAGCATGTACCCCATACTCACCTGGAAGTTCAAGTTTGTAGGCATTGTCATTTATACGCTCCAGGACTTGGAATGGACCATCTCCCCATGGAAGTAGCTTACTACGCCTTTTGACTGGGAACCTCTCTTTGCGCATGTGTATCCATACCCAATCGCCAGGATCAAAGATCATCTTGCGGCGCCCCTTGTTGGTACTTTGGATGTATTGAAGTGTACGCTTCTCGATGTTGGCTCGCACCTTAGTGTGTAACTCACGTACATATGCAGCTTTGTTCTTACCATCCAAGTTAACTCTCTCATGAACAGGTAAAGGAGTTAAATCCAAAGGTGTGAGAGGGTTAAAGCTATACACAATTTCAAACGGCGAATAATGTGTAGCAGAATGAACAGTGCGATTGTATGCAAATTCCATATGTGGTAAGCAATCTTCCCAAGATTTTATGTTCTTCTTAATAATTGCGCGCAATAGAGTAGATAAAGTCCTATTAACAACCTCGGTTTGACCATCAGTTTGTGGGTGGCTAGAAGTAGAAAATAACAATTTAGTACCTAGTTTACACCACAAAGTTTTCCAAAAATAGCTAAGGAATTTGGCATCCCTATCAGAAACAATAGTGCGTGGCATGCCATGTAATCTAACTATCTCACGAAAGAATAAATCTGCAACATGCTTAGCATCATCTGTTTTAAGACAAGGAATAAAATAGGCCATTTTGGAGAAACGGTCAACTACCACATAGATTGAATCATGTCCTTTTTTAGTCCTAGGTAGTCCAAGCACAAAATCCATTGACAGATCAACCCATGGTTCATGTGGAATTGGCAAAGGCGTATAGAGACCATAAGGGTGTACCTTTGATTTTGCTTGGTGACAAGTCACGCACCTCTCAATGTGGCGTACCACGTCACTCCTCATGCGTGGCCAGAAGAAATGTTCTTGGAGAATCATTAAGGTCTTGGCAATGCCGAAGTGCCCCATTAGCCCTCCTCCATGAGATTCTCTTACTAAGAGTGTGCGCATGGAGCTCTTGGGAATGCAAAGCTTGTCCTTGTAGTATAAGAACCCCTGAGAGATGAAATAATGCTCACGAGAGTGTCGTGGCAAGGAGGAAAAAATCTCACCAAAATCTGAGTCAGTTGCATAAAGTTCTTTAAGGAATTCAAAACAAAGCAACTTAGCATCTAATGTAGTGATAAATGTGTGTCTTCGCGAGAGTGCATCAGCCACTACATTCGTCTTACCTGTCTTGTATTTGATCACAAAGGTAAAACTGTCAATGAAGGTAATCCATCGTGCATGTCGCTTACTCAACTTGTCTTGGGACTTGATATGCTTGAGCGACTCATGATCTGTGTGCAAGACAAACTCACGAGGGCGAAGGTAATGTTGCCATGTTTGTAGAGCTCGCACTAAGGCCATTAGTTCCTTAGCATAGGTTGAGTAGTTTAGAGCAGCTCCATTCAACTTCTCGCTAAAGTAGGCAACTAGGCGGCCCTCTTGAAGTAAGACAGCACCAATACTTATACCAGAAGCATCACACTCTACTTCAAAAGCTTTGTCAAAATTAGGCAAACTAAGAACAGGTGCATGTGTGAGCTTGTGTTTAAGTAATTGGAAAGACTTAGCTTGTTCCTCTCCCCAATGAAATTGCACATCTTTCTTGACAATTGACGTAAGTGGGGCAGCAATCGTGCTAAAATCCTTGACAAAACGCCTATAGAAGCTTGCCAAGCCATGGAAACTTCTCACCTCACTTACAGTGGTAGGGGTTGGCCATTCACTAATAGCCTTCACCTTGTCTTGATCAACATGAATTCCCTGCTCACTTACAACATAGCCTAGGAAAACCAATTGATTTGTGCCAAAGGTACACTTCTTAAGGTTAGCGTAGAGGCTCGCCTTGTGAAGTGCATCTAGGACCATTTGTAAATGTACAACATGCTCATCTAGACTCTTACTATAGATCAAAATGTCATCAAAGTAAACGACCACAAATTTACCAATGAAAGAACGTAAAACATGATTCATGAGTCTCATAAAAGTACTTGGTGCATTGGTTAGCCCAAAAGGCATGACCAACCACTCAAAAAGTCCATGTTTTGTCTTAAATGCAGTTTTCCATTCATCTCCTTCTTTCATGCGAATTTGATGGTAACCACTTTTCAAATCAATCTTAGTAAAAATGATTGCACCATGTAATTCATCAAGCATGTCATCCAAACGAGGTATGGGATAGCGGTACTTTACCGTGATGGCATTAATTGCCCTATAATCAGTGCACATTCTCCATCCTCCATCTTTCTTTGGAACAAGTAGAACTGGTACAGCACAAGGGCTTGGACTCTCTTTAATCCAACCCTTACTAAGCAACTCCTCCACTTGTCGTTGTTGCTCCTTGGTTTCCTCAGGATTGGTCCTATATGGTGCCTTGTTTGGAAGGGAAGATCCAGGAATGAAATCAATTTGATGTTCAATTCCCCTTAATGGAGGCAATCCATTAGGTATATCCTCAGGAAAGACGTCTTGATACTCCTGTAAGAGGTTAGTAATAACACTAGGCAAAGAAGCATCAAGAGCATTAGTGAGTAAGGATTCCTTGCCAAATAAAATAAATAAAACCTGATTAGAATGCAAGGCCTGTCTCACATCTTTCACCTTGGCAAGCATGCTGGGTTTTCTCTCCTGTGTGGGCTCTAAGGCCGAATGAGAGTGATCCAACTTGCTCGAAGAAGGGTCGGCCGTCACTAATTTCTTAGCTTTGGCGTTGTCCTTCTTGGTGGTAGTATGCAAGTAATACTCTTTTTGTAGACTAACTTGATCCTCATGCACTTGTTGAGGTGTAAGAGGTGCAAGTGTAATCTTTTTACAATTATGTATGAAAGAGTATTTGTTCAAGAAACCATCAAAAGTGACTCTTTTGTCAAATTGCCAAGGACGCCCTAAGAGTATATGTGCAGCTTGCATTGGTACTACATCACACATAACATCATCTTCATACCTACCAATGCGAAAAGTAACCAAAACTTGTTTATGAACACGTACCTCTCCACTGTTGTTTAACCACTGAAGCTTGTAGGGACGGGGGTGCTCACTAGTTGGCAAGTTTAGTTTCTCCACCATCAATGCACTAGCAACATTAGTGCAACTTCCGGGGTCAATCACCAAGCTGCATACCTTGTTGGTCACATGGCACCTAGTGTAAAAGATGTTGTCACGTTGAAGCTCATCTTTACTAGCTTGAGTAGCTAGTGCCCTTCTTGCTACCAATCCAACTTTGTCTTGAGTTGGAACTTCCTCTATCTCATCTTCCTCTTCAACCAAGGGAGGCATGTCTTTGTAATCCTCCTCTTCATCATCAGTGACAATGTCTCCATTTGGTAGCACAAGCATGGTCCTTGGATTTGGACATTGGCTTGCGATGTGCCCAACTCCTTGACACCTCCAACATTTGGTGTCACGATTCCTAGGTTTTGAAGTTTCAATTGTTGGCTTGGAAACAACCTTGGAGTCGGTTTTGGTAAAAGGTGGCCGTGATCTTGACCCTTGGTCGTGCTTGGGTTTTGGAGTGTTCCAAGCATTCGGACCTCTCTCTTCCCTTCTAGGCTGGAATGGTCGAGTAAACGTTTGTGGATGAGGGTTATAATTTCTGGTTGTACCCCTCCTCTTGAGCCTTTGCTCAATCTTGATAGCCTTCTCCACCATATCTTCTATCTCCACATAGTATTGAAGCTCCAGTTGATCGGCTATTTCAACCCTCAGACCACTGAGAAATCTTGCCATTGTAGCCTCTCGATCTTCTTGAATATCGGCTCTCAACATGGAGATTTCCATGTCCTTGTAGTAGTCCTCAACTGAGCGTTGACCTTGTGTCAAGGTTTAAAGTTTTTGGTACAAGTCTCTATGGTAGTGACTTGGTACAAATCGCTTCTTCATCAGTCTCTTGAGCTCAGTCCAGGTGGTTATAGGTGGTTCTCCACACCTTCTCCTGCTTGTAGCCACTTGTTCCCACCAAACTATGGCATAGTCGGTGAATTCTACTACGGCAAGTCTCAATTTTTGTGCATCGGTGTAGTCATTGCAATCAAATACCAGCTCTACTCGACTCTCCCATTCAAGGTACGTATCCGGATCAGATTTGCCTTGGAATGGAGGAATCTTCATCTTAATCCCTTTGATTTCATCACCAATGGCTCTTGTGTTTCTCCTCGGTCTTCTTTGCTCGAATGCCTCATGTTCCGAATCGGCATTGGAATCACTAGATTCCTCCAGGGTGGATTTTCCCTTAGATTTCCTAGAAGAAACCCTAGATGAACTTAGTTGATCAATCTGCTCATGGATTGTTTCCAGTCTTTGGTCAAATCTCCTCTGCATTTCCTTCCACATATCATCCATTTTTCGTGATAACTGAGCAATGGTAAGTTCATTTTCCTGAGACATGGTGAAACCTGCAAAACTTGACAAATTGTTTAGTAGAAAATGCCTCACTTGCTCCCTGAAGTATTTTCACTCCTCTCGTGTTTTCACTCAAGTGTTTGTGTCACTCTAATGCTCTCACCAATTCACTTCTCAAGCCACTTGATTGTTTCCTTTGAAGAAATCAGAAATTTTCTCAAAGAAGTTCAATCAAACCTTAATCAAATAGTATCCGATGCACCAAAGGAACAAGAAGCAAGAGTAGAAACGGAAAGCTCAAGTACAAGTAAAATGAATGGAATGTCCAAGTACAATGATGGAGTGTCCCAAGTGTTTACTTAATTTCCTAATTGATTTTGGGAACCAAGTTAGGTGTTGGATTTATTTGGAAAATTCCTTAAAGTCGGCTAACCAAACCAGAATTGTTACCAAAAATTTCCAGATTTTGTACCCCTTAACCTTCCTCAAAATCGGCTATACCAAATCAGGGTTATTTCCAAAAATTTCTAGATTTCCTTTTCCTTATGCCTTTCCTAAAGTCGACTGGTCAACCAAGTGCAAAACAGATTTTGGTAACTTCCTATTCTACCCGCAACTATCCTCCAAAATTCCAGAATTTCCTCTTCTTAAATCCCTCTCAAAGTCGGCTAGAACTTCCTAAAAAATTGTCCAGATTTGGTAGCTTCTAAATTTTCCAGAATTTCCTCTTCTTAAAGCCGTTCCTTACCCTCCAAAAGTTTCCTCCCTTACTCTCCCTCAACAACAAACAATTCGGCCTCCCTCCTCTTTGCTCCACACAAGGACAGATTTGACTCTTGGTCCTAGGCAATGGCTTCACAAGATAATGCAAGTGACGTCACTCAAGAATTCCCCAAGCAGCCTGCTCAAGAAATTCCCAAGAGGTTTACTCCTAAGCCAAGGAAGCCCCGTATGGATGCAAGGACGTACAAGAAACTTTTTATACGAAGAGAGGTGCAAATCTTCAAGAATCAAGATGGTCAAGATCCTCAAAATTCTCAACGGGTGATACAAGTGATCAAGGATCAAGGTGCTCAAGATTTTCAAGAGGAGGTTGGTCAAAACTTTTGAGTAGTCTTTTTCTTGATGTAATTTTCTGGTTTGTTGAAACAATTGCAACAAGACAGAATTTGGCAAATAAAAGTGCGGCTTCCTTCTTTGTTGTTTGCTACCCGAATGCCTTTTCTCTTTTCCTTTTTTCTGTTTTTTTTTTGACTCTAAGAACACACAATTACTCGGCTGTTCTTGGGTAAAATTCCAGAATCTAATGTCAAACCAATGCTCTCCTTCAATCCTCTAATAATGATCAAGACATGTATCAAAGTTTCAAGACTTCAAGATTAGTTTCAAGAAACTCAAGAAACCCTAGATTATGGTAGTCCCTCTTCAAGATTCCAACCCCAAACAAGTTTAACCACAAAAATCAGTTTAGGAAACTAATGAAAACAACTTGGTGGAATAAACTAAAGTTTGGACAGATTGGCAAGAAACTCGCGCCCAAGGAAACCCTAGTTGCAAGTGAAAACCCTAGCCGTCGCAATTTTTTTTTTTTTTTTTTGTAAAAATAATCGGACTTGACACAAAGAGAGACTCAACCAGTTTTTGCAAGATAAAATTTACTAGAAAGCTTACGAACAAACTCAACGGGATATACTTGATGTCGTCGACTAGCTCTGGATACCAACTGATGTGCGACGGATCTAGACGAACACCAAGTTGGGATGATTTGCGGAACTTTGACCCTTCTAGAATCACAAGCCACGAACTGAGGAGATTCCTTAACCCAAGACTAGCAAATTTAGTGAACCAAAAGTATGGATAGTAGAACGCCACAATCAAGGAGACTACTTGATTGATAAGTTCAATGAACAGCTTGAGATTGATTCTCAAGTATTCAAAGGAAATTCTCTTGAGGCAAGAGAGAGTGAAATAACTCACATATATTTTATAAAATCTGAATTGTCCTTTAATGAATGAAAACCTAGGCTATATATAGCCTTACAGGACTCAAACCCTAGAATGTCCAATGGACGACCTTGTGACGACCCCACCTCCCCCTAAGGCGAACCAGAGGGTTCGGCGGGCTGCCTGCCCGGCTCTCGCCGGGACTCAGTCGTTCACTAAAGTCCTCAAACGAATTACAAGAATAAACCTCAAATATACATCACATGGTCCACAAATATACATCCAAGTCTCCAATAATTACATGTCACAATTGCAGCGGAAACAATTCCCAACTATACATAAAATGATACCAAATCCAAATTGTACAAAATATAGGCCATCCAGTCACGTGCACAAGCACAACAAGTCCTTCCTTCGCTTTGAGCCCTGTGGAGGGGAATAAAATATTTTTGGGGTGAGCTAGAAGCTCAACGAGTAACCGGTAAAATAAGTAATCAAATCGGTTTCACAATAGTTCATTTCAATGATGTCATAGATCAATGATGTCATAAATCAAATGATAAGTCCAGAAATAATTACAACATTTACAAAACATTAAATATGGAGTATCAATAATTCAAGAAACATGTATAATGGAAAGCGATAGTAACATTCGTGAAAAGGATACATTCGTTCTCCTGTCCTTCATTTGAAATTGCATTATTTTCCACCAACCTCCACCAACCTACAAAGGTAATACTCGAGTATACCAAATTCACCCAGGGTCACCATATCGCCCGACCGAGTCCGCTTCTGGCTCGAGTCGATCGGTAACGAAGGGCAGGGCCCAATTCAGCCAAACGGCTTACATTCATGCGCAACCAGCATTTAATCATTAATCATTGAAAATTTCATATTTATTTAGGTGGAGTGCGATAAAGTACACACTCGCCTAGAAAACTGGTTTTAACAATCATTGAAAGCACTTAACACATTATCAATCAATAATAACAAGCCAATAAGTCAAGGAAATATAGCAAACAAGGAACACTCACATGTAAGCACGCATGATATGCAAGAAAATAGTTCAAAAGTAACTTTGGAAACAAATAATGCAAGAAAACGGTACAAAAGTAACTTTGGAAACAGTTCAAAAGTAAATAATGCAGGAAACGGTTCATAAATAACTTTAGAAATAGTTTGAGGTCACTCACCTCCATGGCTCAGAAATCATCCATCAAATATCATTGCCTTGCTCAAATCCAAGTCTTAAATCACAAACTCAATGCAAACAAGTTCCTTCAAAGTTCGGACAGCACTTCCCCTGAATTTGCTAACTTTTCCAGCCATCATGGCTTCATTATTTCCTCAGCCAGTCCCAAAGGTACACACACAACAACAAGTTCATCCAATAGCCATTCAGCAAGCTCCAAGTAGTACTAGTACAAGTCAAGCTAGGGAAAAGTCCGGAAATGAAAGTTAAGCTCAAAACCAGAAAAACAGTTTTGGACGTCATTTTGCGGTAATGGTACCAAAGGCGCTACGATTGTCGGATGAAGGTGAAGACCCACCGTTTCGAAGCTAAGATAGGGCTACAACAATGTAGAAGGCACTCAGTCCAAATCCTAGCACAACTAGGTCAAATATGCCAAATAACAAACCAGAACCGTACTTGCAGGTTTACAAATTACACTATGCTGTAATCAGTACAACTCAGTCTAAACAGGTCTAAATGCAGAAATTCCAAAGGATATGGTAGCTAGGACATCAAGCTACATTTCATCAGAAGACCTCAACACCCAAATCCAAAACAATTCCAGTCAAAACAACCCATTTCAGACACAGTTCTAACATCCTGATGAACCCAGAACAGCAATAGTAATTTCGGTTATCTCATTCTACACTACTCCAATTGACCTGAAATTTTACAGGCACCCTTAAAAAATCAATACCTACAATTTTCATTTTTTGAGCCAAGGCCAATTCGGCCTCTAACCATATGATACAAAACCGGACAGAAAGGGGGTTATGAAACCCTAACTTTCTCAAATTCCTTCCAAACCCAAAATTGGTTACAATTACCAATCATGTACACATACTATAGTCATTAGCCATCAATTCCAACCATCATAGATAACCACAACATCATGATCACAATTAAACCAGAAAATTCATCAATAAATTGAAAACTTCACCAATTCCTCTCAAACCAAGAAATAAACCACAAATTCATCACTTTAGCTACCATTAAGCACAACTTAAGCTTCATTAAGTGTAGGAGGAAGTTCAATCACCACTCACCAAGTAAACAAGAGAGGGAGAGTTGTTGGACACCTTAGCTTCCTTAAACACTTCACCAAATCACTTTCTAGTACCAAATGGAGAGATTTTATGGAGTAGAAACAAGATCAAATGGTTTGATGATTACACTCAAGCAAGATGGAAGCAAGAATCTTGGAGAGTTTTTCTTTCTTCTTAGCTAGAGAGGGCCGGCCACAATGCTGAAGAAAAGAATG